TATTTGACTCATTAATGTCATTATGAGAGCTAGACACTGGGTTTACGCTTGATTATCATGGGGATGGGGCTATGCACATCCCATGCCTATTTCACAGATGCCGAAAAGGAGGGAAAGGGAGAGCATGGATAGGAAATGGCAAACTACCATGCCTGTCCCACTCCTTGTGTGGTAGCACAGTTCTGGAGAGAGCATCACACTCAGCTGCCAAGTGCCCATGTCTGTCTTAAACACATACCAGCATCCAGCAGAAGAAGTCAATAGCTGAGGGAGTCAGGGGAAACGAAAAGGCCCTTCAATAAAGAGACCATTGTACACCTCTCTAAACAAGCTATTTTCTTTCTCATTTCTGCTCCCCTGCTGCGTTCTGAAGGTCACTGCCTGCGTCTGCACAAGCCAGAGAAAGTCACCAAAGGCATACTTGGCAAGGGGAAGTAGCAGTGGGAAAGGAAAGGATCTGGGAGGTGGGGTCAAGGAGAAGTGGGGGAGGAGAAGACAGGAGGGGGAAGAGGAGCAGAAGGAAGAAGAGGAGGAGGAAGAGGAGGAGACGGAAGGAAGGAAAAAGAGGAAGAAAAGGAGGAGGAGGAGAAGGAGGAGGAGGAGGAGGAGGAGGCAGCAATTTTACCACAAGGGACAGCCAGGCTGGCTTTTCTTCTCCTGGCCAGCCCAATGACCTTCTTCCCTTTTGCTGACCACTCCCCGGGGCTGGCCTCCTGACTGCTCACAAATAGCCAGCCAGCCAGCTCTGGGGAGGCAGCCCACAGGCTCTTCCTCAGGCCCCTATCTGGGAGCTGCTCCCCACTTCATCGGAGGGAAAAGCGCTCTTTGAAGAGTTTGACAGGTGCGTGCCAAACTGAGCTTAATTTCATTCTTTTAGGAGTGTGCTTTTTAAGAGCTGGAAACTGGGCTGGGGTTAGCCGGCACTTGTTGGAAAAGGTTCAATCATGTTCTTGGGAGAGAAACCCAGTTTAGCGATCGGCCTGGCTGCTTTAGAGTGGCTATAGGAAGAGGAGGAGGAAGGTGATGGGGAGAAAGCTTTCTGTTTTGGACCTGCAATGGCTGGTCCAAGAGGCCTTTAGTGCTATAAATGGCATGTAATGAAGGCCATCTTTGGACACTGTGTGATTTGGGTATTGGAGTTATGGAGGGTGAGGATGAGCAGGTACTCTTGAGAATCACCAGCTTTGGAAAGCCATAAGCCCCAGGGTTTTGTCAGCTCCAGCTGACAGCAAAGGCTCCTTCTAAAGAGCAGCTGAGGGGTGAAAATACCCAAGGAGAGGAGATGTCATGAACAAGGAGTCCAGGTTTACCTGGGGTAAGGAAGCATGTTCTTTTTGAAAAGAAAATATCTTTTAAACATATTCATTCCTAGAAAAGCCCAGAGACACACTCCAGTTGGATTTTGCTCTGGGCTTTGAAGGGAGGATTCCTGAAGCAAAGCATAAGCACAGAACATGCCGGAGTGACAGGCTGCCTCAGAAGAGGATCCCTGTCTAGGGAGAGCTGAGGCCAGATGCACAAGGCTGCTCTTATACTTCTCCACCCACTCCCCAGTGCTTGAATAGCAGTGTCACATTAGGCCATGTCAAAGAGAGAGACTTCTAGATGTCACTTTTTCAATGTCCACTGAGGCCTTCCCCGGCTTCTCCTTTTCAAGCCTTTTTTAGGTGTCTCCGCCTTTCTTGCCCGACACAGCTGATGGTCCTCAGAGCTCCATCAGCATCCTCTCTTTGGCAGCAATGTGCTGCCTTTTGCAGAGGACTTAATCTGTGCATGAGCCCTAGTTGAAAACCATGCAGTGTGGTTCTAAAGTTGGGCCTGAGAGACAGTCGCTCATGTCTACAGCCTGCCCTTAGCTCTTTGGTGAATATGTAATTTGGGAGAGACGCTCACCCCTGTGCCTCTGCATGGGGACCTGAGTTTGGTCCCCAGCATGTACAATGGTAGACTAGAGGGCTTGCTGGCCTGTCAATCTAACTCAATGACCTCCATACACACACACACACACACACACACACACACACACACACATACATATGTATAAAATTCACATATGCCAAAGACTTTTAACAGTGCTTAGGCCAAGTATTCAACAGGTGCTGCCAATTTCAGTTTTCTCTTTGACTCCTGGTAGCAAGCTCCCCAGAGGCAGGTATGCCTGCACCTACTTGCAGATGAGAAATGGGCTCAAAAAGGAAGCAGGCCCAGCTCAGCACACTGCTACATACTGAGCATAGAAACAGCAATGGCAGATAACCTTAGAGTGTAAGTGGTAGTCAAGTTTTAGATTCATGGGGAGAGTTCCTGAATCCATTCTTATAATCACCATACTAAATTGTCCTTCTGTAACAGCTTCGGAAAGAACTCACACTCCATTCATTTTAAATGGCACCTATTTAGGGGTTGTAGAAGGCTCTGAAAGCACAGATGACCTTCAACTAGCCCCTTGGAGGGATCATTAATCCCTTAGGGCAGGTTTTAAAATTTGAAAGTATCTCCTTTATAAATACCTGCCTTGACCCTCACCATGGCCTTCTGTAGCAGAACTGGCCTTGTTGTACCAGAAAGGAGCCCAAGTTATAGACTGTAGCCCTACAAAGTCACAGCACAGTCAACCTCCGTGTCCTTGGGCTATGTACTTTAGACAACCTCAGACAGAAATTACAAAACCCAAACAGACAAAAGCCCACCCTACAGCTGTATTGAACACATACAGACCATTCTCCTTACAATGGCTGTTTACACAGCATTGGCCCTAGTAACTGCAGTAAGGCATCCAGGCAGGTTTTTAAGTGCACAGGACCATCTGAGCTGCTTCTGCACACACATCTTGCTATCTTATGCAAGGGACTTGAGCATCCGTGGATTCTGGAACCCATGAGGCATCCTGGAATCAATCACCCACATATTGAGTGAGTCAGCTGTGTTGTAACTGAGGTTGAATTCTGTACCTTTCCATTATTTTTGGGCACCAGAATAGTTAAACCTTTTTTTTAAAAAAGTAATTTATTTAGCTTTATTTTATGTGTATTGGTGTGAAGGTGTCAGATCCCTGAAACTAAAGTAACAGACAGTTGTGAGCTGCCATGTGGGTGCTGGGAATTGAACCCGGGTCCTCTGAAAGAACAGCCAGTGCTCTTAACTGCTGAGCCATCTCTCCAGCCCCAAACCTTTTTTTTTTTTTTTTAAGGAAAAACAGTTAAGCTGTTGTGAATTAGAATCTCTTGGGTAGGGAATGCTTGGATATCTTGGTTTTAGAAACCTGAGTCCAGGATGAGAACATGGCCCAGCATAAAGCAAAGATGGGGAGTTTGGATCCCCAGAAACTATGTAAAAAGCTGATGGGAGTGGTGGTCCACCTGTAATCTCAGTGACAGGGAGGAGGAGATGGGAATACCCATCTGGCTAGACAGATAAGCCAGAAAGACAACAGCAAGCCTCAGGTTCAGTGAGAGACTCTGTCTCAATATATAAGGAAGAGAGCAATTGAGGACAAAGTCTGTTGTCAACCTTGGGCCCCTACACACACACACACACACACACACACACACACACACACACAAAGAGAACCTGATGTGCTTTCAACACTAAACCAATCCTGGCTTTTTCCAAGTGCCAGACAGACCTGGGCTTCTAAACTTCTGTCCAGATGTCCCTACCACGGCATACACCCTAGCCAGCTTCCTCTTGGGCCTGGTACCCACATGCATCCACATGTTCTCTTTGGGGCACCTCAGCCTCTGGCAACTGCTACTCCTATTTCTCCCTCTTACCATGGCTACCACACCCATGCCATTCTCTGCTTGCCAGCTCCATCTAGTAATAGCTTTCATAGTTTCTACCTTTGCTTCCTGTTGTAGCCCCCATGGATCTAATCCCAAGGTTGTGTCTCTCTGGGTTTGGGGCTGTCTCCATCCCTATATGTACCCATTTCCTTTTCCCAGTCCTTGGTTCCCCAAACCCAGCCCTCATCCATTCTTATGTCAGAATAGAGCTTAAACTTTTTGAAACTGTATTTGTACATATTTATGGGATGGATGTGATGTTTTAGGTCTGTACCCTAACCCCACCCCCACCAGGACATGGGCATGGCTTCTTCAGTGTCCCCAGAACAAGGCTCCAACTTCAACCTTAGAATTGTGCTGGAATGGCTTGAGGACCTGCTTGTCTTCACCCTTGTCTTCATTCAACAACTAGGTATCCTGCTGCCTGGTATGAATCTAGGAGCTGGACAGGACTAGAAAGGCAGTGGGGCAGTTTAGGGGCAGACAGAAATACAGAGACTCAGAGACAAATATAGGCTGAGGACCAGTTAGGAGACTATGGCAGGAACCCAAGGGAGAAACCATGAAGAACACTGAATTGCTACCACCATAAGCTCCAAGTCAGCTGGTGAGTGGTGGGGATCGGGGTGCAAACACTCCTGAGAGAGGGTTCAGTACCAGCAAAAACCAAGATGGCAGGGACAGTCTCATGCTTGCCTGCCAGAAAGACCTGGGGAGAGCCTGCAGGAGAGCCTGGCAGGAGATCAGGCAAAAAGCTGGGAAGGGAAGAGCTGGATTTGGAAGGGCATTGTGATATCCAACCCCACCCCTCACACACACCCCTTCTCACACTCCTCCTTGCACATTGTCCCTAAGACTCCCATCAGCTACTGGCTGTGGAGACAGGACTTGGAGGACTGTCATTTTGTGTGACTCAGATCTCTGAGTTTCTGAATGTAGGGGTTTGGCAAGTGTGTAAACACAGCCCACAACCCTGTGCCCAGCACCCAGCAAGTCCTGGAGACACATTTGCTAAACAAACAAACAAACAAACATAGGAGATGGCTCAGGTACCCGGTAAGCCCCAGAGACACATTTGAGAAATAAATAAATAAGCAACCATGGGAGATGGGTTTGGGATGTGAGAGTGAGGTCCTTGAGACTGGACATTTCAAGTGACTAAGGCTTGCTTTCCTCCCATGCGTATGGGGACGTTTGGCAGGTGCAGAACCCCAGTCATGCTGCCCTTTCTGTTCTGTGGCATGCTTCTGGCGGCCCTTGGCTCTGTCACCTGGACCCTGCCGAATCCCGAGGAGTCCAGCTTTGATTTAGCAGAGATCAGGCCTGACCTGGCTGAGAAGATAAATGAAACTCATGCCAAAGTACTGGAGATCTGGATGGAGCTGAGACGGCTGCGGGAGGTGGATGCCACGGAGATGTATGCAATCTGCCAGGTGCAGCCATCGGCCTCGCTAGCGACCGATCAGCCGCGAGTCACCGGCCTGGTCCTCTTCAAGCAGCTGTCACCCAGCTCCAGGCTTGAAGCCTTCTTCGATCTGGAAGGCTTTCCTGCCCAGCCAAAAGCCTCCAGCCGCGCCATCCACGTGCATCAGTTCGGGGACCTGAGCCAGGGCTGCGAGTCCACCGGGCCTCACTACAACCCGACCTCCGTGCAGCACCCGCGGCACCCAGGCGACTTCGGCAACTTTATGGTGCGCGACGGCCGCCTCTGGAAGCACCGCACAGGCTTGAACGTTTCGCTGGCAGGCCCGCACTCGATCTTGGGCCGGGCGGTGGTGGTCCACGCCGGCGAGGATGACATGGGCCGCGGCGGTAACCAGGCCAGCCTGGAGAATGGCAACGCTGGTCGTCGGCTCGCCTGCTGCGTGGTGGGCTCCAGCAGCTCCGCGGCCTGGGAGCGTCAAGTACAGGAGCGCAAGAAGCGGCGGCAGGAGAGAGAATGCAAGACCACTTAAGCGTCACTCCGGGCTGCAGAGCCCATCCATGTCGCAGAGATGCCTCCGCGCCCCAGTCGCCTCCACGCGTCTCAGACAGATGCCTTCCAGACACCCCAGTCGCCGCTGCGAGCCCCCACACGCTTCCTCGCACCCCTGACACCTCTGTATGGCCCCAGATGCCTTCACAACCCTCCTCCCCCACCGTCACCTCCGCGCTACCCAGATGTCCCCGACGTGGACCAGACACCTTTCCTCTGTGTCCTCGAGTGACCCAAGAATCCTTTCGTGCCGAAGGCACTTCCACAGACGCAGAGGTCCTTCGTGCCCCAGATACCTGCATAAGATGAAGGTTCCCTCCATGCTGGACACTCCCCCTTAAGGGCCCTCTGTGTCCCGACAATTACACATGCCCTTAGAATGCCCTTTGAAACAGTCTTTGAGTCTGTTTGCTTCCAGAGGAAATTCTCCTCCCCCTGGCGAGATCGCAAAAGCTAAGACACTTTCCTTTCACTCTGATGATCTCGGAGCCCGAACCTTTGAGAAACAACACCCCCCCCCCCCCCCCCCCCCCCCC